AAAAAAAAAAAAAAAAAAAAAAAAAAAAACTATTACAACATCCTTCTCATAACCATTAATGATTAGTTTTTTTTTAATTTTAAATTAATTAATGTTTTAAAACTTAAAATCTAATTAATTACACTTTATTAAAAAAATAAAGCAAAATAAATCATTAATCATATCTTAATTTTACACAACTATTAATTATTATCTAATGTCTTTTTTTTTTTTTTTTTTACATAAATCACAATAAGTAAAATATTTGTGCCGTGAGGTAGTAATTTGTTAAAAACATAAAAGTCACATCTTCCAATTTCCATGCATCGGCACGACGGTCTATTATCTTATCTAAGTAATAAAATAATAGACTAGAAAAATTACATCTTTGACCTTTATTAATTAATGGACACTTGTATATCTTTGTGATTATTTGGTAATTTCAGAATTGGTAACTTTTATCAATTCGGAGAATAGATTGGGATTTCTTCTTCAAAAGTGTTGGAGTTGCCCCAAATCAGAAAAACAATGAAATGACTACTGAAAAATGAAACATTTGATCATCAACAATAAAGCAATTTTTGGAATCGGAGTTATATTCATTTTCTATATCTCATATGTCAAGTCTTTTCTTTTTTTTCTTTCTCCCAAATTTCAAATTTCCATTATGAGTCATTCCTCTAAAATTTAAAAGGTTACGTTTAATAATTTAAAGTTTCAATATAGTTACATATTTGCTAGAATCTCTTCTATCTATGAAAATTCAACACAAAGTAAAGCATAATTTTTTCCCTTTTTTTAGAATAATGTATACACGACTTTTTGTAAAAAGTCAAAGTTTTTTTGTTAAGTATAATATTGATTGTATTTATCATAAGCACCAATATGATTCTCTTTATTTTATTTTTTTACATTTTTATTTTATATTTTAATATTGTGTTCCCTTAGTCTAGTATACTAGAAACATGGTTTGAAATTGAGTGTTATTACCATTTGAAGAAGACAAACATGAGTCTTTTTAGAGATAATTTTATTTAAGGACAAAATTCGCTCAAACCCTTTTATTTTTGCTTGAGTTATTTTTTGACAAGGAGTTTTTTCTTCC